AGGAGAGACTCGTCCCTAGAGGAGGACATCATGATAGGTAAATGGAGAGTCTGTGAAAAAGAGGTAGACATCCAATGAGACGGATTGGCACAAGCAAAACAACAATTATGGGGTGGCACAGGACCAGGTAGTGTTTTGTTCTGTTGTGCATAGGGTCCTTGTGAGTTAGAACCAACTTGACGACCCCTAACAACAATAGTAACTATATATTTTTTCATGTATGTATCTATAGTCTGTTTCTTTCTACTTTCACTTTGATCACCCTAGTTCAATCCACATAACCTATCACCTTGATTATTATTTATAATAGCATCTAATTGGTATCTTCAATTCCTTAATATTTCCCCTCCCACTACTCCTCAATAGTCTATTTTCCACACAGAAGCCAAAACTTCTTCCTAAAGCATAAGTTCCTATTATTTCTGTGTTTAAAATCCTACACTATAAGGGTGAGCAAAAAATTATTTTCACATTGGCTGTAGAATTTTTTAACTAAATTTTAGAAAAGATAAATACATAATTTTTCAACATGATCTCAATACACTTTGTGCATATGTCAACAAGCTTTCGTATTCCCTTATTTTAAAATGTTTTAGGATGAGCTGTGAAAAAAAAAATAAAAAAATGAAGTCTTTAACAATTTCAAACTTCTTTCCATTTATCACAATGTTATTGGTCCAATGGTGAGAATTTTTGTTTTCTTTACACTGAGGTGCAAAACATACCAAAGGCCGTGGTCTTTGATCTTCATCAGTAAGTATTTTCAGTACTCTTCATGTTCAGCAAGCAAGATTACGTCATCTGCATACTGCAAGTTGTTAATGAGACTTTCCTAGTCCTGATGCATTCTTCGTCACACAATCCAGCTTTTTGGATTATTTGCTCAACATACAGACTGAGTAAGTGTGGTAAAAGAACACAACTCTGGCACACATCTTTCCTGATTTTAAAATACTCAGTGTTCCCTTGTGTTCAAACTGCCTCTTTACCTACAGGTTCCTCATGAGCACGATTAAATGTTCCAGAATATTCTTTCTCCACAGTGTTGTCCATAGTATGTCATGATCCACACAGTCCAAAGTCTTTACATAGTCAATAAAGCACAAGTAAACAACTTTCTGATATTCTCTTCTTTCAGCCAAGATCCATCTAACATCAGCAACTAGATCCCTCATTGCACATCCTCATCTGAATCCAGCTTGACACTCCAGCAGTTTTCTGTCAATGTAATGTCACAACCATTTTTAAATGATCTTTAGAAAAATTTTACTTGTATGTGATATTATCCAATTATTTCTGCATCCCATTGGGTCACCCATTTTGGAATGGGCACAAATACGGATCTCTTCCAATCAGTTAGCCAGGTAGCTGGCTTACAAACTTTTTGGCATAAATGAGAAAGTGCCTCCAGTGCTGCCTCAGTTTGTTGAAAGATATCAAGTTGTATTCCATTCTCTGCCAATGTCTTCAGTGCACCTTGGACTTCTTCCTTCAATACCATTCATTGGCTTTTGATCATATGCTACCACTTGAAATGGTTGAACATCAACCATTTATTTTTGGTATGGTGACTGTACATTCCATCCTCTCTTTTGATGCTTTCTGTATCATTCAATATTTTGCCCATTTGTTGTTGTTGTCATGTCAGTACTGACTCACAGCAACCCTATGCACAACAGAACGAAATACTGCCCGATCCTGGGCCAACCTCACATTTGTTGCCACACTTGAGCCCACTGATGCTGCCACTTGGCCAATCCATCTCATTGGGGGTCTTCTTCTTTTTCTCTGACCCTCTACCTTACCAAACATGACATCCTTCTGCAGTGACTGGTTCCTCCTGACAATATGTCTGAAGTATGAGAGACGAACTTTAGCTCTCCTGGCCTCCAAGGAGCACTCTGGCTGCACTTCTTCCAACACCGATCTGTTGGTTCTTTTGGCAGCCCATGGCACTTTCAGTATTCTCCTTCAACACCATAATTCAAAAGCATCAATTCTTCTACGATCTTCCTCACTCACTGTCCAACTTTCGCATGCATATGAGGTTATTGAAAATGCCATGGCTTGGATCAGGCACACCTTAGTCCTCAAGCTGACACCTTTGCTCTTCAACACTTTTAAAATAGAATCCTTCAATATTGCAACCCAAGGCTTGATTTTTTCCTTCAGTTCTTTCGGCTTGAGAAACACTAAGCGTATTCTTCCCTTTGGGTTTTCTAATTCCAGGTCTTTTCACATTTCATTATAATACTTGACTATGTCTTCTCAAGCTGTCATTTGAAATTTTATGTTCATCTCTTTTATCTTCCCATGTCTTTCACTTGCTTTAGCATCTCTACACTGGTGAGCAAGATTCAGAGTCCCTTCTGACATCCATTTTGGTCTTTTCCTTCTTTCTTGTCTTCTTAATGATCTTGTGCTTTCTTTCTATATGATGCTCTTGATGTCATCCCACAACTCTCTGGTTTTCCGTCACTGCTGTCTATTGAATGAAATTTGTTCTTGAAATGATCTCTACATTCAGGTGGGATATGTTCAAGCTCAAATTTTGGCTCTGATGTACTTGTTTTAACTTTATTCAGCTTCAGCCTGAATTTGTATATGAGCAATTGATAGTCTGTTCCTTCCAGGTTTAAATGTTTTACCTAAAGTTGACACTTAAATTTAGTCTTCATGTATTCTGTACATTTCTTGGCCCATGAAATTGTTTGTGGAACTCCAAATGCTGGGTCTGAAATTACCTTGCACAAGCTCTAGACAGAGACAAAATAGCCTGCCAACACTGTCTCACCCTTTGGCTCTTCTTCTAGGAACTGCTATATGGTTGCAAGTGAATACTTCTAGAGTAAAAAACCATTTTCCTTGTTTTGCCTGGAGAGAACATTGTTTATTATATAAGTGCCAAATGTTTAAAACAAAGGTTCTAATTCTAACCTTCTTGAGTATTTTTAAAATCCCAATTTAGATTCTACTTTTACACTTGCATGTTTATTGCTATCTATGTGTGGCGCTGTAGGCTAATGCATCAAACTGCAAGGTCAGCAGTTCAAGCTCATCAGCTGCTCCTTGGAAACCCTTTACAGGGTCACTGTGGGTCAGAACCGACTCAATGGCACTTCACAACAACACAACATCACTTACCCAACCACTTTATTTCAAGAAATTCCCCACTGTTCCTTACTCACCCTTAAAACTTCTAAAACCACTTTTACTTATAATAATGCAAAACTAGGTATGTGTAGAAATGTTAGGGGAGGCAAAATGAAGGGGAAAAAAGTAACAATAAAATCCTATCTTGTGGTTCATAGTCCAGTGCTTACTCTACAGAACCACCACAATTCCCAATGTTGTTGTTGTTAAGTGCTGTCAAGTCAATTCCTACCCATAACGACCCTATATAGGGTTTCCAAGAAGAAGCTGGTGAGCTTGAACCGCCGACCTCGCAGTTCAAAGGGCTCTGCAGTCTGGCACATTAACCCACAGCGCCACACTAGGACTCTACACTTCCCAATAGGCACCCCTAATCCCTCTTCCTATTAAGTCAATAGAAAGCTGAATTATATATAATTTTAAAACAGGATAAGCAATCAATCATATGATCTTTTTCAATAACTCTGCAAAGTATGAGTCTTAAATCAGAACTTTTGTCCTACTCTGCCCACAAAGATTAGGTCAAAAACCACACTAGGTACTCTTGTTCATACATGCTTTTGATTGCCTGATGGGCTGTGTGATCACATTCCTTAAGTCACAGCCAAGAGTGTATTCTGGGACTGAAACTATTTTAAAGACATAACATGGCAGTGTACTAACAAAAGGTTTGGTGCTGCAGCCAAGAACAGTAAAACAACCTTCTTCCCTCGTAACACTGTCATTCTCAAAAAAGATGGACTTTTTGCCTCTTATTTTCCTTCCTTCCTCCCTGTCTCCTCCCCACTCCATCCCTTCTTTCCATTCGCTGTGAAGCTCAGTTTTTGCTTTGAATGTCCCTGCTAGAGTGAAGTCTATACATCTTAAACTATAGCCTTAGCTAGATTTGCTTCCTAACAGGGGCATGTCACCATCAACAAATGGACCTAAGCAGAGCTCTAGTCCAGTTTCTGGGTCGTGTCTGCCTGGAGTAGAATCCCAGCTCTGCAATGCATTCATTGTGGAAGACTGGGCCAACCCTTTAACTTCATTAAATCTAGGAGGCCTCCTATGTGTATGTGTGGCACTGTGTGATAAGTACTAGATCACAAGGTCAGTTTGAATCAAACGGTCGGCGGTTCAAACTCACCAAACACTCCTTGTAAACCCTATACAGGGTTTCTATGAGCCAGAACCAACTCAACGGCACTTAACAAAATATACATATTTATAGACACAGAGTGTTGGTGTGGTCCTGTACGATAAGCACTGGACTTGTTAACCAAAAGGTTTGCAATTCAAACCCAGGAAAATCCAGCACAGGATTGTTGAGTCAGAAACAACTTGTCGACAGTTAACACCTCTCAC